TGCACCCTCGGCACCCGATCAGGTGAATGGAGCGAGATATGTGAAGGCGAATGGAGGCGAAGAAGAAGAAAGTCACGTGCAACACAGCACAGCGACGATCAGGAAATCATTATTTTTATTTTTTGCAAGATCCCTTCTTCAAAACAGTACACCTGCATTTTTGTCCTCTACCAATGCGACTGCGATACGGAAAAACAATGCAACCCTTTAAGAAACTCATTCTCGCCAACCCTGTTCGTGGTATTCCGCAAATCTACGTGTATAAGCATGAAAACAAAAGAGGAAATTAGGGTGATGTGTTTATTTGCGAAAGCCCGTGTGAACGCATGTGGCGAAGAACTGAGAATAGCCTCGTATTTCATCGTGGACCCTTGAAATCCCTGGATTCACGGTAGCAGGCGGGATACATTACAGTGAGAGATGCCAGCCCTCCCTTTCGAGAACCATCGTAGCACTCGTTTCCAATTTCATCCGAAAGGTGGCGAGATGAGAGCTATTCTCCAACTTGCAGTGAAAATTGCCTCCCCTCCCTTTCGCGTGGCGGATTTGCAAATTTCATTTCGAAAAGCACATCCTCCTATGGTAAGGAAAAATTCTGTCGAAACCCCAAACTCATATTTCTAAGCGTTTGACCTGTAGAGCTGTCACACACACACAAACACACAATTGTTGCTCGGCCTAGCTATCGGCCAGAATAGCGCAACGCAATATGTTTAACCTCCGGCCCTCGGCTGAGAAGCAACCGAGGTCCCGCGGTTTGTAATACATTCTCTACCAAGTGCCCAAGATGGCCTCTTTTATTATGGTGAACCTGAAGCGACTCGTGCAGTTGCCATCTGCCTACATGCCTTGTCAACACTTGTCTGTTTTGCGTCTCTCCAGCGTTTTCCCTTCAAAATTAAAACAATGCCTGAATTCATATGGATTGATCTTGTATCCAATACACTCTGTTTACCTTTCCCCGAAGCAAGAACGCGTTTCAACATATGTTCATTTCGCGTCCAGATACGACACTCTCTGCAACTTGTTCTTCAAGAATTCTACGAAAAACTGTGCCTCTTTGAGCATTAAGTGCTTTAATTATAAGCCTGCATGAAAAGTGGTGGAGATGGACGGAAGATACGGACAGAGTCAGGAATGGTACACGGAAGGAGTGCCGATCGGTAGGAGGACGGTGATCCGATGGATAAAGCGGTCAGGATCTCGATAAATATTGAGGCGGAGAAATCATTCCGGGGAGGAAGACATCCAACCTCTAACAGGGTGAAAGGGGACTTCAAGGGTCATATGCGGGGATGATTTGCTCGTCCCATGGGAAAGTCCGTATTGTTAAGCTTCAACACCACGTGGGTAGGGGGGGGGGGGGGAGGCGCAAGACGTATAATTCCCGAAAGGCTGCTGCATAGAGCGTTGAGCAGACTGAACTTGTGAGTTGATGAAAATGCTATTCGGCCAACTCACTCTCATTTGTTGGACTGTCCAGACATTCGCTGAAGATGAGCCAATTCGACTGAGAAGATTCCGAAAATAGGCATGAGATTTAGCAAAAGTTCTTGCAGTAAGGATGCCTGTATTTTACCGAAATAAGTTTCCTTTCCCTTCGACATAGCTCCCTGTGATTTCTCACGTACATCTAAGAGGAAGACAATCGAATGCCTTACAACTGACAATACTTTAAAGGTGTACCCTACCCCGGGAATTGACAAGGAAATTCTGGCCCGGACGTCTATGGGAGTATCCAACTATCCGCGAGGAGCTAGGCGACCTTTCTTCTTTACTTGGATACATTAAAAAGCTAATTACCTTTAAGGCGCGTCTGTCCTGCTGGAGGACCGAAATCCGCATTCTCATGCGAATAGGACAAGCCCGACCATTAGCCGGCTCAAACGACCCGTATGCCAGTGCTTAGGCACGTCGACGAAAAGCCATCAACAGTTCCATGAAAAATGTTTCACTGGGAGGCCAACCCGAAATTCGTGTAAGTCTTTGACACGTTGGGATGTCCGTCTCACTCTGGAATTTCCAGTTTCTTTCGAGCCTTCGCGGCTGTCGGATCCATCCTCGAGGACGGGAGAGCGTGGATGCTTACCGCTGACTGAACTCGTGAATTCCCTATAAGTTTACACACGTTTCCCAGGCCAGGGCGGTGAACCTGTATTATCCCTGCGGCCGGATGGAACCCTTTGTGGTGGTTGGTTCAACATTAGCAAATCTTGAGCGAAAGGTTCAATTCACAACAATTGAAAATATAAGGTCTTTTATGAAATCAACTGTTGAAAATAGACTAGGCAGGCTGGACATAATCAACTAGAGGACCAGATCCAGTCCGTCACCTGGCAGGTGACGGACATCCCTTGCCTAGGCCGACCCGAAGGTCGTGGATGACTCCAAAGGTCGGCTCGTATTCCAAGTAATACTTCAGTTATAAAGCGGCCCATGCGCACGAATTAAACAGATTATTGAGATTTGTGTCATAGTAACGTTGAATCATCTCGGAATCAACATCCGAGGTTAAGGAAAATTAATTTTCAATGTGATGTCAAAGTTGCAATGTTCCCGTTGCACATTCAATCAAAACTTGATATGTTGAATAATATTCATACAACGTTGCTCCAATTGTTGATGAAAAGGTATTTCAAAATAAAATCAATGTTAACACGCCAATGTGGTTTCAACGTTAATTGCGTTAGGGCAATAACGTTGAATTAATGTGGATTCACCGTGAGGGTGCTGCTTCGGATCTCACATAAACAGCCGTCCTTGAACATTGTTTAATTTAATTCTGCGGGAATTGGAGTCACACCTGTGGAGAAGAGAATTTATTCATGAACGCCCTCATTCAAATAATAAAGATTTAAAGGTTATGCACAAAACTACTCTCATTTTTTCTACTAGATGTAGTGGCGAAACACAGAAAACCCTGGGTATATAGAAAAATGAATTATTCTCATTATTGAAACCAAATGTTATTACAGAGCGAATAATGAAATTTGTTCGGTATGCGCCGTTCAGTATGCAATAGGTGGGGATACATGGGAACTGCGACTAACTTTATGATGTCGAAAATATTAATCAGATGAACATTGCGACACTGTTGGACTCACTCAAAGATCCGTTTCGGAGCATGATCGAGAGAAAATTTCTAAACAATCGATAGGAAATGGAACGGGATTTTCTTGAGCACACATGCAATAAATAAAGTGGTGGAAATGGGAATATATAATGTAGTGTTTTACGTCAAGCGAAAAACAAACTTTTCCACTCCAAATACGAAATACGCAATACAGAAAATCAAAAACACTCAACTCCAATGGGCGATTAGGAAATACAATCAGTCTATAAACATGTACCTCGTAGACAGTTTGGATCAATTTTTATTCCCTGCCATTCCTAATGAAATCGTTTCTGGGAAGCTGATGCTGACAATCGACTTGCGGCTGACGACATATTGGTTCAATTTCTTATTTAATTGTCAAGTGGTTTCCGTTACTTCCTGGCCGAATTCAGAGCGAAGCCGAATAATTGGTATACGATAGCCAAATGTTTCCTAGTCATATTGTTCTAACTCATTTCAATGGAATCGATCACGTCTGAGATACAACCCATGAGACACGCGATAGGCAACGTGGCTCAACGCCGCAGGGGTGTTTTAAAATGTGAACCCCATTAAATGACCCCCTAAGATATTCAAATTGCGCCTTAGGAAACATTTAACATACTAGCGAGTTTGTTTGCTCTGCGGTCGAACAAACTCCCTATTGTCGCGACTTCGGCGCTCATTGTCCAGGTTGTTGATTCATTAATTTTTGAAGTGGGTAAAATGTAGGAAAATTACGTGCCTGTCGGAATATGTGCCACGATGGGACAAACCGATATTTTTATTGAATAATTACTCCGATTATTTATTGCATGCCTAACTTCAAATCTCTTTATAATCTGACCTGGAATGACATATTTCAAGGCCTAATTTGCACTCAGAATTCGAACAGGTACTTATGTTCCAAGCTTGAACTTGAAGTAGAAAGCGTTTCAGTGAGAAGAGAAGTTGAGTGTCTCCCAGTTAATCAGTGTGATTTGATATCCCAACGGAACATGCACTTCCGGCAGAAGGGATTTGAGTTAATTACGTAAATGGACAATCCTTAAATGTAAACAGTGATCGAAGGGTCTATTCCAAAGAACATATCCCGAATCCTTATATTAGAATCCTTGGATTTCTGTTTCAGTTTGTCACTTGCCCTTTGAGTTCCATGATTTAATTTTCTACAAGTTAATTACATCTTCAATGAATCAGTAGGACAACTTTTTTTCAAACCACCGAAACCGGAATTAGTTGGGAGAATATCAAGACCGTTATGGAATTACATGCGAACGATGAAACTTGTTTGGCATGCAACGGTGCATCAACAGGTATGCAGAAATTCCACTAACTTGACGGAATAAAATATATTAATTGCATGAACATTTCAAAAATGTTGGGACATTTCCTCGTTTAACGTTTTACTGAGAAGATGATACAAAAGAAAATTGGACAACAGCCGGATGGATAAATAATTGGGATATTCTTTAACACAGTTGCAATGAAAAAATTACTCGAATGAGATAGGTATAATATAATTTTCCCAGTTCCCCCCCCCCTCCCCCCATGTAACACAAATGATGTCATTTGACTTCCAACTCAACACAAAATGCTGAAAATCAAAGACACGTGGAACTTCAATGGACGATTCTTATTTCTATCTTCAAGGAACAATGTGAAAATTTCGCATTCTTCATGGCATAGTTACATGTGAATTGCTGGACTGGGTTTGGTTTTGCGTTCGTCAAGGAAAATATTTATCGTGTGTCGATAAAGGCGGAGCTTTACCAAAACTAAAATTAGAATCAGCCCGATGCGAAAATCTGCTTGGAATATGAATAACTGTGAGGAAGTATCAATGGGAGAATATTTAAGTAAGACGAGCAAGACAAAATCGATGTTCATACTTTTCTGGAACGTTTTAGCTACAGATGGGAATATCACAATATTCCCGACCAATCTCATCGCTCTTGTAACACCAAGGACCTTCCACGTCATTGTTCCAGTTCCGACAGAAGTTGTGCTTTGGATGCAAGTCGTCCAATATCAAGAGGTGGAGATTTCTGATCGAGCGATCTTCATTTCCCTCATAGTCCGAATATATATCTTGTTCTATTTCCATCCGTCCAGCAATCCACGGCAGGCACTTGTGTCCTTTCAAGGTCACATTTTTCGTGCCTATGTATGATTCCCCCTTCACGTCTTCCTTACATTCTAGTGGAGCTGAAAAAAATGCACATCTGCAATTTAGTACGCGCATCAGAAATGCACAAGGATGACATGATCATCAGAACGAGTTTGATGAACAAGGAAATATATTTTTGCTACTCACTGACGCATTTCCCTCCAATTCGAACGTCGCATTTTCCGACGGTGGGACAAAATGGAACGTCGCAAGATCGCCAATAACGCCAAGTCATTTCCCTGGAGATGTAACATCCCGGACCACCTGCGAAGAAGTCATCGTTACGACAAAACGCGTGACCTCCATCCAATTCATCTTGTAAGATGAGCCCCGAATCCTCATTAATCAGCGTGAGCCAAGGTAGACAAGGAAACCCCCAAATCGTCACGTTCTGCTTCCCCACGTACTCCGCTCCATGCCAAGTCATTTTGCATTCTGGCGGATCTATGAAACGAAAAGGATCAGTGGAAATGTGAGGATATAAGCACACTGGTTCATATTTATTATTAGCAAGAGCGATATTCACTAGTAAATGCACTTGAAACCCTGTCTCCCAATCCCCATTCACAGGCCTATTCAGAGGGAATAATTTTGCACTAGTCTGAACTTGTGTGTCCTGGGCTTTGGAGTGCTGATATTATCCGTAACTCTTAAGGATTTTCATATGTCATGAAGCTATTAGCTAAGTCTTCTCTAGGGATGAATGCAACAAGATCTTGCTAGATAAGTCGTAAAACGTTGTCATCCTGCTTCCGTAATTTGGATGATGATTAAGAGATGATAGACAGTTTTTGCGGCCGTTCCTGTACTTTTTCCCATTTCGGAAATCCAGGAGCATCACTCATGAATCATTCGCCTTCACGCTGTGCCTTCCTCTACCTCATGAGAAGAATCCTCTCTATCTGCCTTTGTAGCACATAACATTGATTCATCGTTGAGTTTGTAGCGCACGCCATGGCTTATTGCCTTCTCCAGTCAGGTGCCCGGCTTCGGCCCTCGTTGAGATTGGACTTAATTGAGGAGCTCTCTGGAAAAGGGGCGCATGTGTACATACGCCACATATCCGTGTGCATGTGTTACTTCAGATGACTTGCCATCGGATACGTTGGTCGTCAAATAGTTAAGATATGTATTCAGCAAAGGAGAAGCAGATTTTCCTATGGTCTCGTATATACACATGCTAGCGAGTTGGTTTGCTCTTCGGGCAAACAAACTCGCTATAGTGGCGCCTTCGGCGCTCCATTACCTTGGATAGTGATTAATTGATTTATTCTTTGCGAAATGGCGAACACAGTTAAAGTGCGTCCCCATTAAAATACGTGACCTAGGTGTGAAAGTCTTCATTTTTATCAAAATCATTACTTCATTGATTTCTAGTGTGCCTGACTTGAAATCCCATCTTGCGTTCCATTTTGTCAGGGTGGAGAATAAATTTTGAAATAATTCTCTCCTATAATCTACGCTAAGGAGACATATTTCAAAAGCATAATTTTTCCTGTACTCACCCATCACACATTTACTCCTGAGGGAAGTTTAAACTTTCTGTCTCTGTTTCGTTGGATGAAAAAAAATTCAGAAAAATTGGACATTAGTCCAATTTTTCTGAATTTTTTTTTAAATAGGATTTTAGCTATTTTTTTTCTTTGAAAATGTTGGCTCAGGGAACCCCATGCCACCCAATTTCAGTCTTATTCGTTTCCCCATTTTGCTGGTGGGAAAAAAAATTTATTTGGAAAAGTGACCCACACAAAAGCTGTGCTCTCGGGAGACGCACAACAAAAGTTGAATTTTTCCTTAAATCAACAT